ATGGAACTCTTTACACACGTCTGCAGCTCGTGCAGTGCACACTTGTCTCGGAGAATGCTTGCATGTACACACCGCAAGGCGTCTCTGTCTTTTTTAAACCCCTTCCTTCCCCTCCGTGCCCCCTGCTCCTCCAGTTCCCTGCCCCTTTTCCATTCTTGTTGACATCTTTCGTCTCAGCTCATGCTAGGGATGTAATGTCTACACCAACTGGCATCGTGAGGCTTTTGTCCAGGGTGCATCTTTATTCCTGTTTCCCTTTCCCACCTCTTTACCTTGCCCTTGTTCTCTGGACCACTTCCCTAGGGCGAGAGATCCATGCCCTATCCCCTTCTGTGCATCCTTTATCATTTCATTTTTGTGCTTTGACTAACTCAAATGAGAGACACCACATGGTACTGAAGCGTGCGTGTCTGTTTATGTTACTCAACATTATGTTTTCCAAGTGCATCCATCTTCCTACAAGTGACTCAATTCTGTCATTCTTTACTGCCGAGTAATCTTCCACTGTGTATAGAAACCACGTTTTCTTTATCCAGTCATCTGCTGATGAGTACATTGGCTGCTTTCAGGATCCAGCTATTACTAACTGTGCTGTTTAAACGTTGGCACCATGGATCACTGTAGTAAGATGCCTTCAGCTCTTTGGGGGAGACACCTAGCAGGGGTGACATCATGGGGTCTTATGGGATTTCCAATTCAGTTCTCAAAACTCTACACACTGATTTCCGTAATTGTTCTAGTCTACATTCCCACCAACAATAAAGAGGGTTCGTTTTTCATTACAACAACGTCAGCATTTGGTATTGTTTGATTTCTTAATGATTATCAATTTTCTGGAGAAAGATGGAATCAGCATTCTTTAAATCTGCATTTCTCTAATGACCAGAGTTAGTGACCATTTGTATTTCTTTATCTGTGAAGTGTCTGTCCATTTCTATTGTCCAGTTCTCCCCTGAGGTTGTCCGCTCACTGTGCTGATCAAGTCTTCCCCTGTACAGAAGCTTTTAGGTCTTATATGAACCCACTTGTGCCAGAGCCATCTCCTGGTGGCTGAGCCCTTGTCCTCCAGTACTGGGGCCTTGCTGGGATCGCCCGTCATTCCCCTGCCTCTCCCACAGCCCTTACCCCTGTCACCCATCCCCACTGCAGTATTCTCCCCTGTGTCAGTGCCTGGAGCCCTGTGCCCATGCCTCCTCCACTCCGGCCTTCAGAGGGGGCTCCAAGCTCCTCTTTCCAGAGCCCTGCTGTCTTCCCGACCCCAGCCTCAATGGGAGCCACCAGAACTCTTCTCACTGCTCAAAACTCAGCATCGACTGGCAAGGAAGTATCAATCTCAAGGCCTTAAATAATGGAGCCAAAAGTGCACAGACAGCCCTGTTCCTAAGACTCTTCCCCTATACGTGTGCAAGACGTGGGATTTCCGAGAAGCTACACTGGGCCTTGTCAGGAAGGGGTGCTTGAGAGAGACCGGGAGGAAAGGGCTGGGCGTCTTCTGTCCAGAGCCCGTGTGCACTTATTTTCTCCTGCCTGGCCTCCCACGTTTCTCCAGGACTTGGCCTCCGAGCTCAGGACAAGCAGAAGCCCAGACCTGCCAGGCTGTGGCATGGCCTGGACTCTCTGGGCCTCCTCTCCCATCCCCGCACACTTGGGAGCTGGGGCTCACCCGGGAGGCCATCTAGAGATGCAGCTGAGGCCCTGCCACCAGCCCTGGTCTTAGTTCACTCAGCACCCGACATGCACCTGAGCCACTCACGGGAGTCACGGAAGGCAGCCTTTCTGGAGCCCAGCCCACGCTCTGCCGATGTCCGTGTGCTGCCCTGTGTAAGGCAAGTTCCACCAGTGCGCACTCCTGTAGAGTCCTGGACACTGAGAAGCCACGCTGGGCCCCTCGGTGGAGAAGGCACCCCTCACCCAGACCAGGGCAGTGGCTGCTGCTCTTATATCAGCTATGCCTGTGTTCTTTGGCATCTTCTTTACTTTCCAGTGCTCCATTAAGAACTTTTATTCGCTTATTTTTAAAGACGAGATCGCACTGTGCAGCCCCGTCTGGCCTCATAAGTGTGAGGATTACAGATCTGAGCCACCAAGCTGAGCCACTTTAACACTTCCTGATCTCAGCAGCTGGTGACCTGGTGCACTTGGTACCATGGAGGTGGCTGAGGGTTCAAGTCCCAGCACCACAAGGGGAAAAAAGAGGGAGTCTTTCTAGCAAACTTTTGCTGGTGGAGTCAAGTACGATTTCGGTCTCAGAAGAAGCCCCTGATGGACACACCTGGCTCCTGCACGGATGCCAGCCTGAGCTACTATTCCTAAAGAGACACAAATCCTTTGTAATCCAAGTTTCCCTAAGGTCTGGCCACTTCCAAGGGTCCATTCGCCATTTCTCAAACTGGTAAATTACTACTTTGTGTCTGACACAAATCAATGTCTGTTCCTTGTATCTGACACAGATCACCGTTATTGCCTAGTTAGGACTAGTAAACCCTATTTTAATGAAGACTCACTTAAGCAGAGAGTACCGAAGTGTTCTCGGCATTATCATGTTGCAGGGAAAAGCCTGGTTTTTAAGTGCTAGGCTTTTAAAAGCCAGAGATATGCTGCTTCTATTTTTCCATGAGGTGGTTCATAAAGTTCACAATAATAATATATACAGGAGAATTCAGTATTGGAAAAAATGCCTTAGGACGTTTAGGGAAAAAGAAAAGGGGAAAAAATAGAAAGCAAAAACAAAAAGAAAGACAGAAATATACATACATATTTACCTATATCTATATCTATCTATATATATATATAGAGAGAGAGAGAGAGAGTGAGCTAAGATGTACATATGTGCACTAAAGGATTTTGGTGCTATTAAGGAATGTTTTAAAATTAGAATAATTTTAGCTCTTAACTTGACCAATTTGGCAGAGTTACAGCTCAAGTCTGTACTGGCTCTGGGGCTCAGGGGCCCTTGGGAGCCCGGTAGGAGACGCCCTGGCCCGCAGCCATCTTTGAGGTTCAAATGTAGCCTTGCAAACGAAGTGTTCCAGGAGCACCACCGAGACACCAGGTGCAGCTGTCACTGCTTGGGAAGTAGGGATCTGAGGTACCCTGGGTTCAGAAGGGGAAGCTTAGGGGACATGAAACAGGAAGTCATTCACGCGGCTGACCAAGGAGAGTGTGTGGCTTTTCCGTGCCACCACCGCACACCTAGAAGCCCTCTCTCTGCCTCCGGGGGTTCACCCTCGTTCCCTCCCTGTCTGCAGTCTGCACTGGGTCAGGATGAAATCGTCCTCTCCACATGGGCAGCTCCTCTCGGAAGAGGCCACCGTAGCTGTGCGGCTGCTGCCTCCTCACTTCCTATGTGATCATGGTGGGGAGGGGGAACCTGCTCCCTTGCAAGGCATCCACGGATGTGTCACCTGGAGGGAACAGACGGGGCTCCAGCTCCAGGAGACTGAGGCAGGCCTGGTGGGGCAGCCTGGAAGGTGGACAACTTCTTCCCAGAATTCACTTAAAATGCAGGTGGGGATGTTGGGTGGCAAGCTGGTGGAGTCCCGTCACACAGGAGGTGGAAACAGCCTGGACAGGTCTCTAATAAACATTTGCCAGGGAGCTCCCTGATCAGAGCTGGGGGTGCTGCATTTAAACAAATACTTTGAAAAGGGGAGCTCACTATGTTTGTCGCTCAGGCTGGGCTCAAACTTTTAATCTTCCTGCCTCAGCCTACTGAGTAGCTGGAATTATGAGACTGTGGCACCATGCCTGGCTAATTTTAAATTTTTATGTCTGCTTTTCTTTACTCCCAAAAGATTTGCAGCAGCTCCCCCAAAATATACTTAGTAGAAAAGAAAGTTAACAAGATGAATAAGGAAACTGTGGTGGAAATAAGCTGGGGTATGCTAATAAGCCAAAGGCTTGTCAGGAAGTGCTGCTTGGGCCGGGCTGAAGGTTGCTCAGAAACTGGAGCAGCCTCCAGGTGGCAGCCTCCAGGGTGCAGAGCCCCATCCGGTCTTTTGAAGCATGAGGGGCACCTTTGCCTGTGACAGTGACTGAGGATGCACTGCACAGATATTTCAGGGTGATAGAAATGCTGACCTCAAATTACGCTGCCCCATAAATCACTGAACCTAAAATGTCAACGAGGACCTTGGGAGCCATAAAGTACAGAGTGAAGTGAACCTATCCAGGCCAAGCCCAGCCTGCACCCTGGACCCGGGGAGAGCTCTTCTCGAGGAGCTCACGAATGGGGCCTCCGTGGTAGAGGAAGGAAATCCCAGAGGATGGTTTCCTTGTAGGTACCGGAACAAAGTTCCTTAAACCACTACCTGAAGCATCCTTCAGCATCCACCAATAGACAGACAGCGCGTGACCAGCAGTGGAGGCTGGGGGAGGCACAGGTGGTGTGGCTGGATCCACATCATCACTAAGCCCCTCCACACACATTCGACTGAGAAGACACGCCCTGATGTGTGCATATGCCTGTGATTTAATTTCGTCTGGACTCAGGACTGCACAGACTGGAGGTCAGTGGGCCGCTTTTCTCACTGTGGTACAGACAGAGGGCTGGGAGCCCTAGGACCCTGCATTCCCGGCCACGAAGCCTGCCTGTGAGGGTGGTGGTCAGGACTACTCTCCTCTGTGCACCTCACCTCACCCCTCTGCTCATACTGGAGGCAGAAGGCAGCCACAGAACAACTGCTGAGACCCCGAAAGTCCTCAGAGGAGAAAATGTTCCCTTGCTACGTGCTGAGAACAGGCTGTGATTTCTGCTATGCTAATGTTTGGTGAACTCACAGTCACTTGGTAAATGCCAGCTCTCATGAACAGAGTCTCTAAACAGTATTCTGAGTCAGCAGAGGGGAGCCCACCCATACCCCTAGCCTGGGTTCCGATGAGACAGGCTCCTCTGTAGCCTCAGCCTGGACCCTAGGAAACAGATCTAGGTGGAACGGATGGACGTGGGAGACGCTGTGTGGCCCAGAGGACTGTGACGCCTTGGACACGGGGCCACTTACGAGCTCCGAGAAGCCCCGCACCACCTGGCGCCGCTTCAGGTTGGTCTCCCCGTCCAGGTTGGCGGTCTCGATGTGGCACAGCCCGTCAGGGTCGCTGGAGGAGAGCAGCAGGACGTCCGCGGGGATGATCTCGTTACAGTGTAGGCGCACGAAGTCGCCCACGTGGATTTCCTTCCAGAATCGGTGCACGTACTTCTTTTCTTCCCTGTAAGAGAGAACGCACTGCTTAAGTCCCTGAGTCGTGCTTATTTGGCACAGCATGGTGGCCCCAGTTCCCCTCTCCTGTGAGTGCCTGATTTCGGTTCTGCTCCTCTTCATGTAAGTGAGGAGTGGGAAATTACCCCAACACAATGTCATAGGAACAAATCTCACGCCATTCTGGGCAGCCATGCTGATTGCAAATCACAGCCTTCTCACTGGTGCTGCCTTCCCATCCTCCTTGTCCAGTTCCTAGAGAGTTCAGGCTGCCGGCTTAGGTCCTGGTGTGGACAAAGCCTGGCCATGTCCGCCTGAGCTCCAGCTGCAGACAAGACTCCCCTTTCTGTGCACTGTTCAGCGTGGGCTGAGGGAAGTCCTGGCAAATGTGCAGACTCTGAGCCACTGGACACCCAGACACGGAAGTGAGAAGCGTCCCCTGCCACTGTCTTTTACATATACTCTTTGGAAGACACCGCCACCAGGCAGCACCGTGAGGCCTGCAGCCTCCAACCCCACTGCTACAAGCAAAGCAGCTCCACGGGGCTCCGCCACAGTGGCCAGTGCCCCACACGGTCACACGGGGCTGGCTGGCTCTGGATAAAGCACCAAATGGCATTCTGTCGCCTGACCTTCCTGCTTGCCCGCCACCAATCTGACGGCTTCCGAGAACAGAGACAGGTAGCCTTGGTGACGGGCAGATGAAAGCATTTCAGTGTGTTCAAAGTCTTTTTCTAAAGGTCAGACCTTGACTTTAGATCACGGCAAGCATTCGCTTTTAATGTTTTCTCCCTTAGCACACCCACCTCCTGGGCTCCTGTGGAAAGCACAAGCGATCTGGAGGGGCCGACCTTTCAGAACGCTGAATAAAGCTGAGTCACTGCTACACCTTGGAAAGAGGCAGTGCTCATCCTGCAGTGGACAGGGCAGGCTCTGCTCCAAGGAGACCCCCTACAAGGGCACCGGGACTCACCCCGGACTATGACGACGGGAGCAGGAGACACTGTTCGCTGCCTCCGCTCAGTTTATGCTAACTTCATCCCGTGTATAAACCTCCTCCAAACTCCAGCTTACATCTGCTTTGTGATCCTAAAGCCTCAGCTTGCCTGCCCTGCTGGAACAATAACTTAGGGGGAGGCATTTGAGTCCCATGAGAGCCTCCTGTAGCCTCCAAAGGGCTAAGCATTTGGAGAAAGGTTTGGGGTGGCTTGTCTGATTTTTGGTAGTGAGGCTCAAATTCAGGGGTTCACTCCTACCAAGCTTTATCCCCAGCCCTTTTTATCCCAAGACAGGTCCCCACTAGGTCACCTGGCTGGCCTAGAACTGTGGCTCTCTTGCCTCAGCCTCCTGAGCAGCAGGGATCATAAGCATGCTTCATGGCCAGCCTGGAATGTACCCAAGACCCCACCTCAGCAAAGGTGAAGGAAGAAGGACTGAACCCAGAGCCTGTGCATGCCAGGCAAGTGATCTACTACTCAGCTATGTCACAAGCCCCTATTTTTACTACAGATGGAAGTATAAATCTATATTTTCCAGTAATGGAATTGAACCAGGGTTGCTGCTCTGAGCTGCGTCCCCAGGATTTTTACTTTGAGACAGAGTTTCTCTAAGTCACTAAGTTGCACGTTGAACTTGCAATCCTCTGCCTCGTGGGCTTACGGGCTGCATCACCACGCCGGGCTTATGCACTCCCACTGTTCTGGTGGAGTGTGCTCCTGCCCACCCAGGGCAGACTCTGCAGTGTAAAGCAGGCCGCTGGGTCCAGCAGCAGCAGGCTCATGCGTCTCAGGTCCGGCTGCTTCACCGTGCTGCTGGAGTGACTGATGCGCCCACCTAGGACTGTGTGGGCACGAGGCCACTAATGTCTCCACCAGGACAGGTCCCCTTGTGGCCCAGGACATACTGCTCAGGACAGGTCTGCGGTGCAGAGCAGGAATTGACCATCCCTAGTGACTCTGCTTCTCCTGACTGTGCTGGAAGCAACAACCCACAGGCTGTGGGCACCAAGGACAGGTGGGCAGGGGCAGGTGGCACAGGGACACACACCACCCGATTATCCACACGCTTGTGTCGTTCCACACACACATATGCACATCCAGGATGGGGGAAAGCACTACACAGAGGACAGAAACCTGCTTGGCACAATTTGGTAACCTCTTACTAATGCCCTTGAGGCTGGCCCAGCATGACTGCCTCGGGACCACCTCCTCTTTCTCCCGGCCTGGCCTGGTGCTCAGGTGCGCAGATGCATGACCATGCTTCTCCACCACCAGGGCTCAGGGGTGCCGAGGACCAGGGCCTCCCCACTCCAGCCAACACCCCGGCTCTAACCCTCCCTGGGCGAATGCTACACAGCTCCGGGAGCCAGTGTTGTCCTGCAGCAGAGGGCTTCCACATTCTGCAGTGGGAAGGCTGGGCTGGGGACATAGCTCAGAGGCAGAGTTTGCCTCCCATGTGACAGCTCTTGGGTTTGAACCCCAACAATGTAAAAACTAAAACTAACATAAATAAACTGATAGGAATTTAAAAAGCCATAGCCCTCCACATCCCAGATGAGCCTACAGCAACTTTAGAAAGTGACGCTCTGTAGTTTGCCCACATGGCATTCCTCCAAGGACAGATCTGCTCATTGGACAGCAGGATTTTGGGGAGTCCCAGCCCCTGCTCAGGGTGACAGACCTGTGCAAAGCTCCCTGGAAAGAGGCAGGAGCTATGACTGAGGGGCAGTCACACCCCATCCTGAGCAATCGGTGACTACCAGCTGTTCCACAGGGAGACCATCCAGGGCCCTGCTAATCTGGGCCTGCAGTTAGGGACAGGGACGTGGAGGAGGGCACATGACCAGGGTCCGAGGGTACGGAATCTCTACCGTGGTCTTCCTCCTGCTTCCACGTGCGCAAGGCCAGAGACTGAGCAGCCTGTAAGTGAAGAGGTCTGTTCAGCCTCGAGTTCTGGAGGCCGGGAGGTCCAAGGGCAGGGCAGGGTCGGGAAGCTCCACAGAGGCTGCAGGCAGCAGCACAGAGCATCGTGTGGTGGAGGAGGCCAGGAACCAGACCTGTGCAGGACGAGAGCCACTGGCCCTCACCCCGCAACTCACCCCACTGAGCCTCCCACAGGGTGGCTGCCATGAGTGGCACCTTGACCTCTGCTGTGGGAGCCCGAAGCGGGGGCCCCAGAGAGTCTGCACTGAGACAAGGACACTGAGAACGCACATTTATGAGGTGTTTAGCTGCTACCCACATGGTGATGTGTTGTAAAGCCTTGGAGAACAAAACCTACTGTCTCCTACTCCAAGGCAGAAGCTCGGGTCCTCCCCGCTAGAACTCTGCCTTACACACAGAGCAGCAGAGCACAGCACGTGGGGGTTCCCAATATCCCTGCCCAGAGCAAAGCGGGGCATGTGCAGAGCAGGAAGGCTTCAAATTTGCACATCACAGGGTGTGAATTCCTCACAAATAGGTGGGGCAGGAACAATGTCCTGGGGTGGACAAGGCTGTTTCCTGATTGCCCCTAATAGGTGCATGAATTCTTCACAGGAATGGCCAGCAGCTGACCCCCTTCCCTGCTCAGGACCCCCTAGGACCTCAGCACAACAATGACCCACAGTTTAGACAGGAGTGTAAAAGGTATGCTGGTCTCCTGCGGCCACCACCTTCCCCACGGGAGGAACACAGAGGTCAGGTGGCCTCACCTGAGGCTGACTCAGAAGTAATCGAAGGTGTCAAGGAGATGATCTAAGGGCCACTCTTCCGCATCCCAGGCTTCAGAGATGGCGTCCAGTAACACCACCCTTAGGTGCCTGGTGCCCTGCAGTTCCCATCCGAATCTCTCTCTCTCACACCACACATGCTGGGATGAAGGAATTGGGAGGAGGTGGAGGCAGGATGACCTGTGACAAGTTTGACTTCAAGACAATAAATAGAAAGAAATAGAAATAGACAATAAATAGAAATAAATAGAAAGAAAACAAATCAGGATCATCTTTGGTCACTGCTTTAAACTGGGCTCAATGATGTACTTGTAAAGAAGGAGCCATGTGGGGGCTGGGGATTTAAGCGCCTGCCTTGCAAGCAGGCATTTGTTGAGTTCGATCCCTGGTACTGATAAAAAAGGAAAAAGAAAAAAAAAAAAAAAAAAAAGAAGGAGCCATGTTTCCAAGGTTATTAACTGATTTCATAAGCGGAGGCAGCTGACAGGCAAGTGGGCGGCAGAAGATTGCTACTACCCTCTTTCCCCAAAAGTAAGACCTAGCTGGAAAATAATCAGCCTTGGAAACAGCAAAAATGCCAGCCCCGCTCAGCCTGGGCCTGCCCTCAGCGCCCCCTCGCCCAGTGACCACTCTGTGGAGCCAGGCGATGCTGTGCACTCTCAGTCTTCATTGGTGCAAAAGAATGCTGGCTAGAAACACATTGTTAACCTTCCGTTTCCTGAAGCAGTGGCCCCCACTAAGCCTCAGGACTCCAGAGAGTCTGCAGAGCCCACGGGTCTCCTAGATGCATTTATAATTCTTCTCAAAACCAGGAAAACTGAAAGAAAAAGAAAGAGCTTACACAGGAACTGAGGGAACTGTGCTTTCATCTTTAAGGTACTGTTTTCAAGTAGATTTGTACCAAGTAACCTTATTTGGTTAGTTTTTCTTAAGAGTAAAGAAAGGATTTTATTTTATTTTATTTTTTTAAAAAACAATGACAGACTCCAACATTACTCACAGCTGGTTAATCCCTGGTGACCCACTGCCCCCTGATATGCAAGGAGAGTGACAACAAGCCAGGTGTGGTGGCACAGGATTGCAGCCCAGGCACTCTGGGAGGCTGAGGCAGGAGGTTTGAAAGCTGGAGCCCATGTGAGCAACTGAGAAAGACTGTTTCAGAATTAAATGCAGCTGAGTGGGCAGGCAGTGAATTGAATCCCCAGTGTTATATGCACACATGCACACATGCACACACACACACACACACACACACACACACACACACACAAACACACAGTCACAGTAATGACTTTATTGTC